GGAGGAGTGGGGAGACCATCAAATCCTCTTTCCAAAACAATAACTACTAAGTATAGTTCCACAAATATTCTTCTGTAAAGAGACTCACAGTACATATTGTTTTTGTGGGCCATATAGGTAGGTCCCTGTTGCAATTTCTCAATTCTACCGTTATAACACAAAAGCAGCTACGTACAATATATGAATGCTTGTGTTCCAATACAAATTCATTTGCAAAATCAGGAAACTGGTTTTGAAATGGTTTAAGATCTAGTTTTCTGACTAGATCAGGGTGTTTAATCTTTTCCATATATATTTTGAATTTGGTTTGCTAATATTTTGTTGATCATTTTTATATCTCTTTATGAAGGATGCTGATCTATAACTTTCTTTTCTTGTGATACCTTTTTTCTTGCTTTGTTACCAGGGTAGTGCTGGCCTCTTAAAATGACTTGGGAAGTATTCTTTGTTTTCTTAAAGAGTTTGTAGAGTTTTGATCTTATTTATTCTTTAAATATTTGATACATGTCACCAGTGAAGCCATCTGGGTCTGGCGTTTTCTTTTGGGGAAGATTTTTAATTATTAATTAGATTTGCTTATTTGTTAAATAGGTCTATTCTGAATTTCTGTTTTTCCTTGACTTGTTTTTGTAATTTTTGTGTTTCTATGAAATGAGCCATTTTGTCCGAGTTGTCTAACTTGGGAATAAAGTTGTTTGTAATATAATCCTTTAAATTGTATAGGATCTGTAGTGGTGTCCCTTCCCTCATCATAGATTTTAATAATTTGTGTCTAATCTTTTTTTATTGGTCAGTCTAGTTAAAGGTTTATCAATTTTGTTGATCTTTACGAAGAACCTATTTTTAGTTTCATTAATTTTCTCTGCTGTTTTTGTTTTCTATGTCATTATTTCCTTTTTCCTGCTTGATTTTCATTTAATTTGTTCCTCTTTTTCTAGTTTAAGGTAAAAGCTTCCATTATTAGTTGGAGACCTTTTCTTATATAAATGTTTAAAGCTATAAATTTTGTATATATTTTCATTCATTTCCTTTTCTAATGTCCTTCGTGATTTTTTTTCATTGACCCATTATTTATAAGCATATTGCTTAATTTTTATATACTTGGGGATTTCCCATATTTCTTCCTATTCATTTCTAATTTAATTCCATTGAAGTGGGAGATGCATTCAATGACTCTAATAGGGTTTCTGAGACTTTTTCATATGGTCTATCTGAGTGTTCCATGAGTGCTTGAAAAAAAAACACTGTGCTCTTATTAAGTAGAGTTTTATGAACATCAGTTAGGTCAAGGTGATTGATAGACTGAAGTTTTCTGTATCTTTGCTGATTTTCTGTCTAGTTGTTCTATATTCCTACTACTTTGCTACATCTTTGTCAGAGCTTGGTATGATCTTTTTATTATCACTATCCTAAAGAGTACGTAGTTGACCCTTGTGACTTCCCATGCCTTTCTTTAATGACTGCCCATGTTCATAGCAGCATTATTCATAATAGCAAAAACAAACTTTTTTATATGCTTTTGTGCCTCAAGAACATATAGGTTTTCATTTTTAGTCTATTAATAATGGTATAATATACTGTTTAGTTTTTGAGTAATTGACTAGCCTTTCATTCCTGGTATAAATCCTATTTGGTTATGATATAGTATCCTTTTTACATAGAGCTGAATGCAGTATACTAAAATTTTGGGTCTAAATTCATGAGGGATATATTCTATAGCTTTGGTGTTGTGATAATTTGTTATTTCTTCCTTAAATGTCTGGTAAAATTCAGCAGCGAAGCCATCTTGGTTTGCAGCGTGTTTTGTAGAAAGATTTTCAAGTACAATCTCATCAAATGTTTACTGATACTTGTTTGTTTATTCTTGAGTGAGCTTTGTTGGTTTACGTCTTAGAAGGAATTTAACTGTTTCATCCAAATGTTGAATTTTTTGGTATAAAGTTACTCATAATATTCCCATAATATCCTTCTAATGGCTACAGTATCTCTAGTGCTATTCCCTTTCATTCCTGACATTGGTATTTAATAAATTCTTGCTTGGTTTTTACCAGTCTGGCTAAAAGATTTTCAGTTCTACTGGTTTTCATAGAACTAATTTGGTATTGATTTTGTTGTTGTTGATGCATATTCTTAATTATCTGCTTCTACTCTTTGTCCTTTCCATTTTTCTTGTGTTTAGTTTGCTTACCAGTTTAAGGTAGAAGTATATATAGAGACCTTTCTTTTCTAATAAAAGCTTTTAATGCTGTAAATTTTCAAAGCACTGTGTTCAGTGCATCCCATATATTTTGATATGATTTGATGCCTCCTTTAATCCATAACTTACTAAATGTCCAATTCTAAACATTTGGGTTTTTCTACAAATATGTTCGTTAATTCTATTTTAATTTCATTTTTTATCAGAGAGCATTCATTGTATGAATCCTCCTAAATGTATTCAGACTTGTTTTATGTTCTGTGTATACTTGAAAAGAATGCAGTTCTTGGGTAGAGTATTTCAGAAATGCCAGTCAAATTTAAGTCTTATTTATTCTGAGACAAAGGTGTTTGTAATTGTAGATTTGTCTACTACATCTCCTGACATTGCCAATTATCCCCTTGGAGGCAAAATCTCCCCCTCCCTTTTAAGAACCGCTGATCTATAGTAGTCTTTTTCTGGGACTAATTTAGCCTTCCAAGATATGGCCCCTCGATCTCTACTGATGCCCTTCATATTTAATGAGATCTTTCCTCTCGGGCCATGGAAAAGAAAATGATTCACAGCTCTAGGTGAGCTCTGTGTACTGTTTTTCTTTTCTTGGAAGTTGTTCTTGTGTGGCCTCAAGGGATTTCACCTTAAGTATGCACACATTTTTATTCAGCTGAAGAGTGTACAGATTTCTGGAGACCTTTCTTTGTGTACCTCCTTCCTTTCCAGTAGTCTGACCCAGACATTCTAGCTGCTTTTAGCCTCCCCAAACTTCAGTCTCTTTCTCCTCAACCCAGAAAGAGTGCTAGACTCTGGGTTCCCTTTCCCTGCACTGCTGGATGATAGTTACTTTCAAGCAAAATGCTTAGAATTAAGATTTCTTGCTCCTGGGCTAGGTATGGCTTACCTTACTTGTTTCTTTTTTCCTAGGGATCATTGCTTGTTGTCTAGGATCTGAAATTAGTTGTCCAGTTTTCCAGTAGGAGGCGAATTCCAGGCTGTGCTTAACTTCCTCCTGCCAAAAGAGGATGCAGTGTTAGTGATTTCAATATGAAAGCACTGAAAAAGAAAATTGAAATGGATGGAATTCTTTTATATACATATTGAATTGGGCGTCACCATAGTTATTTTTAGAATTAGGACTAACCAGCAGGGAAAACAACTATAAATAAGCAATCACTGTTTTACAGTTTTGCAATAATTAGATCTGTAATGTATAAAATTAACCCACTGTTACCATAGAATGCCCTTATCATTCCTGATTAAGTAGTCTCCATTTTCATGTTAATGCTGGCATCTTAGAAGTGCCAAGTAGGCCGGGCGCGGTGGCTCAAGCCTGTAATCCCAGCACTTTGGGAGGCCGAGGCGGGTGGATCACGAGGTCGAGAGATCGAGACCATCCTGGTCAACATGGTGAAACCCCGTCTCTACTAAAAATACAATAAACTAGCTGGGCATGGTGGTGTGTGCCTGTAATCCCAGCTACTCAGGAGGCTGAGGCAGGAGAATTGCCTGAGCCCAGGAGGCGGAGGTTGCGGTGAGCCGAGATCGCGCCATTGCACTCCAGCCTGGGTAACGAGAGCGAAACTCCGTCTCCAAAAAAAAAAAAAAAGAAGACTTCTCAAAGCTCCTAAATTCATAGGTTTTGCTCTTCTAAACATGTCAGCAGCAGTGAAGTTTCAGTTCGGGAAACTTCAGTTTGAGAAACAATGCATTCACCCTCTCTAGAGAGGGCATGGTACTATCTCTGAGAAGTACTGAAATTCAGAAGTCTGTCTTATATGTATTAAACATTTAACTTTTCTCAGACTTTGACCACCAAATCCTTTTTCTCCCTCTAACCATAGTTACCACAGAATCAGTGTTCCCAGGAGCACACTGCGAAAAGTGTAGTTCTCTCCAAAAGTCATAATCTCCACAAGATTAAGTGAAACCATGAGTAACCCTCTGTTCTTTATCCTTATTAGTACCAATTTTTGAAGAATAATGTACCCCCCAAAAAATTCTTATATTAGTTTCACTAATCAGAAGCCATGTACTGTATGTAAGGAAGGACAGATACTTGTTCCCTATTACGATCTATAAGCTACGTTAAAAAAACACACTTCTTTTTAGGTTAGAATCATATCAACTCAATATGTGAACACATTAAAAAATGTATTGCATGCCGATTTTAAAGTTATAATTAGCTGGTGATAGCACAGATATTTTAAGATGTAATTGCTGGAATAAACACTGTTGTTGAAGCCTTCTATCTCAATACTAGAATTAAACTCAAGTGCAGAATGACAGCCAAAGTTAATTAAATAATCACTGGATTTCAACTAGCTTTGTGAACTAGGAAGGAAGGTATCATTACCAGTTCCGTTTTATAGATAACTAATTTACTCAACATTAAGTCCTCCAATTCTTTGTTATCCTGTATTTTCTCTTGGCTATAGTTTAATCCTGAGAAAATGCTTATATTTTACAGTACCTTAAGAGTACATGACAACATTAAGTCTAAGTGCCCATCTTGCATGTATGAAAAGTTATAGCAAGAAAATTGTTTGGCTGGGAGCAGTGGCTCATACTTGTAATCCTAGCACTTTGGGAGGCCGAGGCAGGAGGATTGCTTGAGCCCAGGAGTTTGAGACCAGCCTGGGGAATACAGAGAGATCCTATCTTTACAAGAAAAATTAGCTAGGCAGGAGGTCATGGCTGCAGTGGGCTATGATTGTGCCACTGCACTCCAGCCTGGGTGACACGTTGAGACCCTATCTATCTAAAAGAAAAAGAAAATCCTTTAATTGACTTCATCTTAACCTTTTAGTTCCTAAGGATGGTTTGAAGAGCCAAGAGCTATTTGATGAAATTAGAATGACCTACATCAAAGAGCTAGGAAAAGCCATTGTCAAGAGGGAAGGGAACTCCAGCCAGAACTGGCAGCGGTTTTATCAACTGACAAAACTCTTGGATTCTATGCATGAAGTAAGTGTCAAACATAAAGCCAAATAAAAGAATTTTCTGGGACAAAGTGTGTTTTGATTAGTGAATATAATTATATACCAACAGCTTCTCCCTGCCCCCAGTTAGTGGATATTGGTGATAGTTGGAGTTCAACTTATGAACTTCAGTTTTGTAGACATTTTTCCTAAGTCCAATTATGAAATATCCTTTCATCTAGTCATGTGTATATAAAATCACCATCTTTTTACGGAATTTAATTGCACTGTTTTTAGAAAGTATGATTAATCCATTAAATTAGAATAATGTACCCTTCATATGTAGTACCATAATTTATGGTACTACAGCGATTCATGAAATACTCAATTCCGTATAATTCTACATACAATCAAAGAAATGTAAAATATCTTTTATACATAAGTGCTTATTTTAGTTAACTAAACTTCTTTTTCACCTGGGGAATTTCAGTGAGATTGGTAATATTCTAGTCCAGATAATTTTTGTTAAATAGAGGACAACAAACATGAGATGCTCCCTCTGACCAGTTTTGAAGCCTAATCATTACTGTATCTTCTCTTGCAGGTGGTTGAAAATCTCCTTAACTATTGCTTCCAAACATTTTTGGATAAGACCATGAGTATTGAATTCCCAGAGATGTTAGCTGAAATCATCACCAATCAGCTACCAAAATATTCAAATGGAAATATCAAAAAACTTCTGTTTCATCAAAAGTGACTGCCTTAATAAGAATGGTTGCCTTAAAGAAAGTTGAATAGCTTTTATTGTACAAACTATCAATTTGTCCTGTAGAGGTTTTGTTGTTTTATTTTTTATTGTTTTTGTCTGTTTTAAAGACGCACTACATGTGGTTTATAGAGGGCCAAGATTTGGCAACAGAAGCAATTGAGTCATCACTTTTCTGTGATGGGAGCATAGACAGTGAAATTCATTAGTTAGTATATCCCAGAAATTAAAAACCTTAATATGTGGATGTAATCTCCACTGTCAAAGAAGGATGGCACCTAAACTACCAGTGCCCAAAGTCTGTGTGATGAACTTTCTGCTCATACCTTCTCACAGTTGGCTGGATGAAATTTTCTAGACTTTCTGTTGGTGTATTCCCCCCTTTAGAGTTAGGATAGCATTTTGATTTATGCATGGAAACCTGAAAAAAGTTTACAAGTGTATATCAGAAAAGGGAAGTTGTGCCTTTTATAGCTATTACTGTCTGGTTTTAACAATTTCCTTTATATTTAGTGAACTACGCTTGCTCATTTTTTTCTTACATAATTTTTTATTCAAGTTATTGTACAGCTGTTTAAGATGGGCAGCTCGTTCATAGCTTTCCTAAAGAAACTCTAAACAAACATTAATCTGTGTGAAAATGGGTTGGTGCTTCTAACCTGATGGCACTGAGCTATCAGAAGACCACAAAAATTGACTCAAATCTCCAGTATTCTTGTCAAAAAAAAAAAAAAAAAGCTCATATTTTGTATATATCTGCTTCAGTGGAGAATTATATAGGTTGTGCAAATTAACCGTCCTAACTGGTATAGAGCACCTAGTCCAGTCACCTGCTGGGTAAACTGTGGATTATGGTTGCAAAAGACTAATTTAAAAAGTAACTACCAAGAGGCCCTGTCTGTACCTAATTGCCCTATTTTTGCAGTGGCTACATGGCAAGAAAGTTGGTAAACTATTTGTCTTTTGGGATCTTTTGAAGTAGTTTGTGTAACTTCTTAAAAGTTGTGATTCCAGATAACCAGCTGTAACACAGCTGAAAGACCTTTAATCAGAGCAAGTAATTCCTGTCACTAAACTTTACCCCAGAACTAAATCTCTAATATATCAAAAATGGCTAGACACCCATTTTCACATTCCCATCTGTCACCAATTGGTTAATCTTTCCTGATGGTACAGGGAAGCTCAGCTACTGATTTTTGTGATTGATTTAGAACTGTATGTCAGACATCCATGTTTGTAAAACTACACATCCCTAATGTGTGCCATAGAGTTTAACAGAAGTCCTGTGAATTTCTTCACTGTTGAAAATTATTTTAAACAAAATAGAAGCTGTAGTAGCCCTTTTTGTGTGCACCTTACCAACTTTCTGTAAACTCAAAACTTAACATATTTACTAAGCCACGAGAAATACGATTTCTATTCAAGGTGGCCAAATTATTTGTGTAATAGAAAACTGAAAATCTAATATTAAAAATATGGAACTTCTAATATATTTTTATATTTAGTTATAGTTTCAGATATATATCATATTGGTATTCACTAATCTGGGAAGGGAAGGGCTACTGCAGCTTTACATGCAATTTATTAAAATGATTGTAAAATAGCTTGTATAGTGTAAAATAAGAATGATTTTTAGATGAGATTGTTTTATGAAGACATGTTATATATTTTTTGTAGGGGTCAAAGAAATGTTGATGGATAACCTTTATGATTTATAGATTGTACATGCATTCATTCAGGCAGCGACGGTCTCAGAAACCAAACAAACAGTTTGCTCTAGGGGAAGAGGGAGATGGAGGCTGGTCCTGTGTGCAGTGAAGGTTGCTGAGGCTCTGACCCACTGAGATTACAGAGGAAGTCATCCTCTGCCTCCCATTCTGACCACCCTTCTCATTCCAACAGTGAGTCTTTCAGCGCGGGTTTTGTTTACTCAGTCTCCCCTTGCGCTAAAGTGTTAAACAGGAGACAGGTGGTGCTTACATACTTAAAGGCACCATCTAATAGCGGGTTACTTTCACATACAGCCCTCCTCCAACAGTTCAATGACAACAGAAGCTTCAGAAGTTTGGCAGTAGTTCGCATAGAGGTACCAGAAGTATGTAAATAATGCAGAATCTCATAGGTTGCCAATACACTAATTCCTTTCTATCCTACAACAAGAGTTTATTTCCAAATAAAATGAGAACATGTTTTTGTTTTCTTTGAATGCTTTTTGAATGTTATTTGTTATTTTCAGTATTTTGGAGAAATTATTTAATAAAAAACAAATCATTTGCTTTTTGAATGCTCTCTAAAAGGGAATGTAATATTTTAATACGGTTTGTAACCCAGCTGGATAAATTTTTGGTGCCTAAGAAAACTGCTTAAATATTCTTATCAATGACAGTGTTAAGTTTCAAAAAGAGCTTCTAAAACATACTGTTTATTTGTAGAATGTTATATGGTTAAAACCAGAAAGCACATCTCACACATTAATCTGATTTTCATCCCAACAATCTTGGCGCTCAAAAAATAGAACTCAGTGAAAAAAAGATTACGTGCACTTTGTTGTCAATAGGAAGTCAACTGATGATACTCAACAACTATAGGAGGCTTTTCATTAAATGGAAAAAGAAGCTGTGCCCTTTCAGAATACATGGGGGAGAAGAAAGTCATCTTAATTGTATTTAATTATGGACTTAAGTGTAAATAGATAACGGTGGTGCTGTTTGAAAGCAGCTTTATTTCCTAAGTATGTGTTATCTGGCCATCCCAACCCAAACTATTGAACTTTGTAGTAACTTCAGTAAGAGTTGGTTACTCAACAAATCCTGGAGAATATTTTTAATTATTGGTGTAAAAAAAGTGAACTTCTCAGTATTTGTAGGCATTCTGTGGGACACTATACAAGCAGAACTGAGGCACTTAGGACATGACACTTTTGGGGTATATATACCCAAATGCTTAAAACTGTGGGAGGGAAACTTGGCCACCCCAAAAGGAAAACTAACATGATTTGTGTCTGTGAAGTGCTGGATAATTAGCATGGGATGCGCTCTGGGCATGCCCATGAAGGAAAGCCAGGCTCCCTTCAGAATTCAGAGTCAGAGAGCAATTCCAGTTTCACCTAAGTCTCATCATTTTAGTTCCCTTTTAAAAAACCCTAAAAACTGCATCACCACAGAATGATACATTGATCTGTCAAGCTTCCAGAAACATGGCAGCCTTCAGTGAGATTCCAGTCTTGGCTGGTCACCCCCGACTGCAGCTGTAGGTGAATGTATTTTTTAATGTGCCTGGTTTCCGTGTCAGAAGGGAAATAAAAGTGTAAGGAGGACACTTTAAACCCTTTGGGCGGAGTTTCATAATTTCCCAGACTATTTTCAAGCAACCTGGTCCACCCAGGATTAGTGACCAGGTTTTCAGGAAAGGATTTGCTTCTCTCTAGAAAATGTCTGAAAGAGTTTTATTTTCTGATGAAAGTCTGTATGAAAACACCCTCCTCAAATAACTTGCTTAACTACATATAGATTCAAGTGTGTCAATATTCTATTTTGTATATTAAACAAATGCTATATAATGGGGACAAATCTATATTATACTGTGTATGGCATTATTAAGAAGCTTTTTCATTATTTTTTATCACAGTAATTTTAAAATGTGTAAAAATTAAAACCAGTGACTCCTGTTTAAAAATAAAAGTTGTAGTTTTTTATTCATGCTGAATAATAATCTGTAGTTTAAAAAAAAAAAAAAGTGTCTTTTTACCTACGCAGTGAAATGTCAGACTGTAAAACCTTGTGTGGAAATGTTTAACTTTTATTTTTTCATTTAAATTTGCTGTTCTGGTATTACCAAACCACACATTTGTACCGAATTGGCAGTAAATGTTAGTTAGCCATTTACAGCAATGCCAAATATGGAGAAACATCATAATAAAAACAATCTGCTTTTTCATCGTGTGACTCCAACATGCTTTTGTAGAACTTGTGCAGTTCCAATCGTCCAATTCGTTTTCTCTTCTACTGAAACTGGAGTTACCCCCACTCCAGGAAACTTAAGATAATACGGTGGGCATTTAAATGTCAGTGTGGCAGTGTCTGCAGGCTCATATAGCATACATTCAAAATAAGCTTAACCCTGATGTCAAAGACCTGAAGATTATCCCGTCCATGCCTCAAATTGTTGTGTGCCAATTACTGCAGAGGGTACTAAGGGAAGGAGAAACTCACTCCTGAGGCTGTTTCAAGTGTATGTCTTTATCACAAAAGATGATATTTTATGTAAGCAAATGTTACCTAGTCAAAATTTTTAGCTTATTTTAAAATGAACTCTTCAAGAAAAGGGAATAAACATTTAATATAAATATCACAGCAATATTGCACATAGAATAGAAAGGCAAGGCAGGAGAGTGGCAAGTCAGCTATTCTATACAGTCCATTCAGTATTTTCCAAAACATGATGTTCAGTCCATATCTAGGAACTGGATAACTTAGCTTATTTATGAGTACTTTTTTTCCCACAAGAGATCTCCATCACTAAGAAAAAGCATTGTGATTTAAAAACCAAATTTGCCTTATCCATCATCATGTGCACCCAGTATTTGCTACGTGCCTACTATACTATAAGTATTGAAAATACAACATGAATAAGAAAAATACTATTGCTACCATCAGTCACTTGAGTATGTGACTGGAAAAGTGTATAACCTTTCCCTTGTCTTCGGGTGTAGTGCAGAGATACCAGATATGGCATCGGTATGTATCCACATTATGGCTGTACCATTCACTTTAAGTACTAACCTTCCATTTTTGTAGAACACCTTCACATACATCATCATAAGCCTCAGCAAATCAATGAATGAATGAATGAATGAATGAATGAATGAATGAATGGACATGAACATAATGAGGCAGATTACTCTCATTTTCATTTTATGAGGAAGTAAATTCTATTTTATAAGAAAGTAAACAGGCTCAGAATTTAAGCAACTGATGCATAGCTCCTAGCTCCCATTTTATTGAAGTTTAAATGGAAAGCCTCTAATGAGGCTATTTATCTATAAGATGTCAAAGACCATGTCTCTGGCCTATTATCCTCTCAGGCAACTGGTGGTTTTTCTGTTTTAAATTAAACTGATGCTTTACTGAGCACTTAGTATGTGCCAGGCACAATGTTAATTCAATATATTATTTCATCTTAGTACCCCTCTAAAGTGCTACCATAAAGTAGTGCTATTATCCTCATTGCATTTTTATATCAGGAAACTGTGGAGTAACTTGCCTAAAGTCACAAAGCTAGCTCCAGATTTCATACTTTTAATCACTATTGAGAAATTATTAATACGAACTAACTAGAGCAAATGAACCCATACTGATCATTAAGTGTCCAGCCTTTTGCAATGTCCTCATTTAATCTAATCCTTTCTGCCACCATATCAATCTTGACTTAGAAATTTAACAGTGATACATTAGTCCTCACTTATCTGTGGAGGACGTGTTCCAAGACCCCCAGTGGATGCCTGAAACACAGATAGTACTGAACCGTATGTTTTTTCCTATATTACATACCTATGGTAAAGTTAATTTACAAGTTAGATGCAGCAAGAGATTGACAATAACGCAAAATTACAATAATATACTATAATAAAAGTTATGTGAATGTGGTCTCTTAAAAAAATTGTACTATACTGCGGGTAACTGAAACCATGGAAAGTGAAACCGCAGATAACGAGAGGACTATGGTATTTCCTTCTCTTAAAAGCATGTGTCCTGTACCCTGTGGAGGTTGATGGTGGAAAACGGTAGTTGCCCACAGATTACAGAATGCCCTTTGGTTTGTCTAACAGGGAGCCTATCTCACTAATGCCCACAGGAAAATCAAACATTTCTTCAAGTGATATGGAGCATATGGGATACAGCCAAACCCAGGAAGGTTGTTTATGTTTATAAATGAACTATAATGCAAGTTAAAATTTGCTCCTAGTTTTGCAGGTAAAGAACCAGACTTTTGGTGTAGGGAAAAAAAAAAAAAAAAAAAGTTGAAAATACAGAGGCTTTTACATAAGGTGATTTTTTTTTTTTTTTTTTTTTTTTTTTTTAGAATTTCAACTAATCTCTTGACTGAAAGTAAGTCATTCTTAACAGTATTGGTAACTTTATAGCACTTTCTTTCTAGTGAAAGAACTCCACCCTCCCTCTTATTTAGGCTTTCTGTTTCCTACTTAAAATGAGACAGTACTTCGTTAGGGAAATATTTTTACTTCACTTGATTACAGATATGTAAGTCTCAGAACAAGAGTCTGTGCCGACCATATCAAACACTCAAAAATCTTTCTTTACTCATTTAAGAGACAATTTATATTCTGTTCACTTTATGCACCCTCACCAGAAATATTCAAGACTAATATTGTGTATATAATGTAAATAAGGCATATGTTTTTCTATTTTTGTTAAAGTTGCATTGTCTTATAAAGTACTATATGACTATATACATGGGGTTTTGCTAGAAATAAAAATCTAGGTCATCCAAAATCACTGCAGTTGTTCACTAGGCTTGCAAAGAATCAAGATAAAAATGAAACTATTTCAATATGGCAAGAAAGGGGATAGTGTGCATAAAAACAAGCAAAGGCTCACAAAACATGGGAATATGTCACAAATACCTCTTAAATCAGTTTCAAGACCTACTATGTGGCAAGCATGCTAGATGAAGCAATTCAAAGACCACTAAGGCAATACTAAGTCTCCAAGGAAAGGTTCCTGCCCTCAAAGAATTAAGGATGAAAGGCAAATGACTAAGCAATTCCACTCCTATGTATCTACTCAGACAAAAACATTTGTCCACACAATGACTTGCATGCAAATGTTCGTAACAGCATTATTCTTAATAGCCAAAAAGTGGAAACAATTCAAATATCCATCAACCAATGAACAGATAGACAAAATGTGGCATATCATATAATGGAGAACTAATCAGTCATTAAATGTGAGATACTGCTGGCTGGGCATGGGGGTTCATGTCTGTAATCCCAGCACTTTGGAAGGCCAAGGCAGGTGGATCACTTGAGGTCAGGAGTTTGAGGCCAGCCTGGCCAACATGGTAAAATCCTGTTTCTATGAAAAATACAAAAAATTAGCAGGGCGTGGTGATGCGCACCTGTAGTCCCAGCTACTCTGAAGGCTGAGGTGGGAGAATTGCTAGAAAACGGGGGTGGAGGTTCCACTG